CAGTAACCTACTGTACAGCAGAGCGACATCCACGACTTACCCGCTTTTAAAAAAATGTATATTCGGGTATTCCTATAATATATTATTATATCACTGCCTGACTGATAACACCGTGACATGGATAGGAAGCTTGAACTTCAATTTTACATACGTTATAATTTATCGCGTAKAATATAACATAAAGAAGACAGAAACAATTAATATTTATTTTAAGTTTTTAAATGTGAAATTGCATGCATATATTTTGACTTAGTAGTTTTTAAGTACTACAAGTTCTTAGCCCTAGTTATGATTAATGATTAATATTATTTATGTTTTATGTACTATATAGTTAGTACTAATATAAGATTTACGAACATGACACGAACATGTATGTTGATATGTTAAAATATTAATTGTTTAAAAAAAGACAATATTATATTATACATCTATAGTCTATACACACTATAATAGACTATGTATTTAAAATGAATAATAACTATAGCCCCATCATATTATTTGTATACAGGTATTATAAATGTCACTGATATATCATCAAAATTTACGATTGACACAATTGGAAGGTGCGCTTTTGGAATAAATTGCAATACATTGTTTGACTCAAACACAGAATTTCAACGAGCTGGAAAGGCAGTCTTTACACCCACACTGAAATCGTCTATATTAAACTTCATGAGGTTAATTGATATGGGATGGCTCGTGGACTTGTTAAGATTACGTAGTATGCCCGACCTCGTCTATAAATTTTATTTAAATTTATTTCAAGATACACTGGAGCTGCGTAAAAGTGAGAAGGATGATCGTAACGATTTTATTTCAATTTTAATAAAATTGAAGAATGATGAAAAAATAAACAACAGTCGAGTTGGTAATTTATATGAAATACGTTTTATTAATTTCAATTCATAATTCTTATATTCATAGTTATGTTTTGTATGTTAAATTATTGGATAGTATGGTCAACTAGGTAGGTTAGCCTACCTTATGGTCAACCTACTACAGTACTACCTACAGATATAATTCCTTATTTCCTTATATTATATATTATAGTTATTAAACTTCACATCTTCACAAGTGACACAAATCGAGTAAATTTAATATAAAACCTAAATTAACATAGGTAAAATTGTAGCTTTGAGAATATATGTGACTATCATAATTATTCGTACTTGATAGTTTATAATATTCAAGACAGTTTTTTCGATCACGGGGAGTACCCGAGTACCGCTTTATTAAGTATATTTTATTAAATATTGAATATTAATTATAGAATTGAATTCTATTGAATTGAATATTATAATACGTAAATACTATCAACAACAATTTTCTAATAATAACACAACTTTAAAGAACGTTTTGTAACGTTTGGCTCATCGAATGAAGTTCATGACTTGTCCCTTGAAAAATTCTGGATGTGCAAACTAATTCAAGAATCATACATCCTAACATTCCTAACGCATAAACTAATTCATCGTGAAAGTATAATAGGTAGCTGCAGAATTAAATGCCATTACTTATTATTTGTTAATATTTATGATAATGTTTACATAGCATATTTTACTAATTACTACTTGTGTGTTTGGACAAATAACAGCTAATTGAATAATTAAAACTTTGATATATAATTTGGATCACTTACCCACTATATAAATCGATAAAATTAGATATRCATTATACATACGACAAACCTGCATTCTTTTTTACTCCCCTTAAATTTTAATCGGTCCATAAAAATTAAATAATACATTTTAATAATTTTCAGAATTATTTACTGACGATGTTTTAGCTTCAAATGCATTTATATTTTTCGCGGCTGGCTTTGAAACCACTGCATCTACTATGAGCTATTGTTTATACGAGTTAGCTTTAAATCGAGACATTCAAGTTGAATTGCGCAATCAAATCAAACATACACTAAATGAAAACGAAGGAATTCTCACTTACGATGTGTTAAAAGATATGAAGTATTTGGATATGGTGTTGAATGGTTAGAGCGCAAATTTAATGTACCTACAAAAATTCGGCTGCATCCAAATTGGTTCCCATACCTGAAAATTGACATCCAAATTGGTTCCCGATATTCTATAGGTATAGKTAGGCGCCACACGTTCGAATTGGTTCCCGATACAGATTTACGAAAAAGCAAAATACAATATAATATAAATGAAATATTTAATATTGTAATTAATATTTTAAATGAAAAAATTGATGAATTCTTCGATTATATTTTGAAAATTATATTGAAAAAGATAGCTCACTTCCACCAACAATGTTGGCTGAATATACCAGTAGTATAGAACGAACTACTAACTATTCAACAATTACTTTTATTCCGCACATCCAACATATTTCAATTTATGGATGTACTAAAAGAAGTTCAAATTGAAACTTATATAAAATTGCGAAGTTCGAACAAACTACAAAACCTGAAGTCTAAAAAATAAGGAAATATTTATAAAAA